GGTAACATCACAAATTTCTCCGGAGGCAGAGCAGATAGGACCCCTGTGTGTGACACACGATGAGGGTGTATACAGTTCAGGTAAAGGGTGTACTACTTATTGCCAAACTCACACAGCCTGCAGCGCTATGGGCTTTAAGAAGTTCCATAACAATTTCATAAATTTATATTGTCATTTTTAATATCTGTAACCTCTGCCACAGCTTGGACAATTTACAGCACTCCAAAGAAAAAGCCTTTTGTTCACATTGGCCACACATTTGGCTTTTACCGTAGCTAAGTCACTGCACAGACAGCAGCGTATATCTCAGTTAACGTTTTTTTTTAAACTCCCAGGCAGCTCAGTTAACAAGTCAAAAGTAATATTCACCTTGTGACAGCAAACATTTACCTTTTTTACTGTCCTCTTTGGCTGTTTTCATTTACATTTAGATCCGAAACAAATTAAATTTTCCCATGGTTAAGTCGATAGTGTAACTTTTGGAATACCACAAGGTCCTTATCTTGTTTCAAAATGAAAGTAAGTTTGTATCCGGACAGGAAGTACAGTACCCTTAGCTTAAGACAGTACAAAAATACAAAATAAAAGCATTAAAAAAAAGTTTTTGAAATGTAAAACTATGGATTCTCATACATTTGATTAAAAAAGTGATTCATCGTGATTAAACGTAAATCATATGTAAATTTAGCCGCCAGGGGGCTCTCAATCAAAACAAAAGATGACATTGATGCTGGCGGGGAATCATGGTAATTATTTATTTATTTATTATGTATTTTTCCTTCTTATTTATTATAAGTTTATTTGTCAGAGACATGTAGGCATTGTTCTATATAGGATATAATATACAGGACTTATAGCCGTGGCTAATTTGCAGTCCTTATCCCTGGTTAGGCTTTTAAGCTTCAGTACATGTTTCCCAACATCTGCAATGCGCCTATGGTTATCTCTTGACTATTTCAAAATTCTAGTCGTTCACTGAGATTTAGAAAGTGAACCCTTTAACTCTAACATGGTCAAACAGGGAATTTTACCTGAAAATGACTGATGACTGAATGACTCTAAACTCTCATCCCTTACTGTGAAGTGGTACTTTCTTTCAAACTGTGAAGTCTGCTTTCAGTAAGATGATGACTAAATTTGTCTTTCACTTTCTCTGTATCCTCTCCCAGGATAGACTCAAAGTGATGATCTGTGTCACAGCGATCTGCATACTAAATAAAGAAGCGAGACTTAAAATCCACAAGCTTTTCCCAGAAGTGACTTCAGAGTTGCATAAACTGTCTGTATGAGGTGCGAAGACATTTTGATTATGTGTGTGGGTTGGAGCAGATGGTCCGGTGTGTAACAGGATTACTTCCCTCCAGCTGCACTCTGCAGTAAAGTATGTTAAAATACTTCACTACCACTGGTTGTTTTTGTTTATTAGGTGTATGTCTTAACACATACATTTTCATTAGAGGCACAGTGAAGGGATATTACAGCACTGCTTCCAATTTATATTTTGTTTCTTTCTCATTGGATGATGATGATTGTTATCCAGCCGGACCTCTCAACTCATCAGACAAAAACTTAAGCCTTTTTCTAAAGGAAAACTGTGTAGTAGTAGATAATAATGTATACTGATTATTCAGTATATACAGTATTTTCTTCTTCAGAATTGAGCTTTTATTATTTTACCACCAGAAAGACATGTCATATTTTTCGGTTAATAAGAAATTCTTGGATAGAATTCAAACAAGTTGCAAGTTTTTGATGGGTAATTGTACAGAATCTGCAATACAATACAAAATAGTGTCGTCTGCATAGCGATGGGCATGACAACCATTCAAAGGAGAAACCATTTCATTAATATGAACAGTGAACAGCATGGGACCCAAGATGGAACCTTGTGGCACACCTCTATTAATGAACAAAACTTCAGATTTAGCCAGACTAAACTTAAAACACTGACACCTGTCAAACAAACGATCCTGAAACCAGGCCCATACACTTTCATCCAACCCAATAGCAGATAATGTCTTTAAAAGAAGGTGGTGATTGACTGTATCAGAAGCTTTTGACAGATCTATAAAAAGAGCAGCACAATGATGCCTCTTGTCTAGTGCTAGTTGTATGTCATTAGTCACCAAATGACATAAAACTAGTTAAACTAGCCATTATTGATTAATAATGATTAGTATTATTAGTTTAATAATACTAATCATAATGGTCATCATCAAGGCTGAATCTGCTTTAAAGACACACACGGTCAGGTGCTGTGTGACATTTGTAACTATGAGGTCAAAGTGAATAATTGTAACAAATGGGTAAATAATATAGCTAATCTAATTTATAAAGCATAGCCTTGATTAGCCATGATTTGAAACGAGACTACCAAGACTGTACAGCCTTCGTATTTTATCATGAAACCTCTCCGCTGGATCATGTAGACATTGACATTATAAATAAAGGCAGCTGGATCTGTGTAGCTAAAGAGCCCCAATGGAACATAGTGTAAACTTCAGCTGAATAATCGGTCAAAACTCTCAATTGTATGTTTACACAAAGTTATTTATACACACACACACACACACACACACACACACACACACACACACACACACACAGCTATTGGACTATTATCTATTAACAGCATCTCTCCAAGACATGAGGCATCAAACTGTATCCTACAATATAGGTGCTTTCACACCAATTTCACACATTTCACAACTCCTGAAAACGTCCTGACATTTTCCAGGAGAGCTGAAGGAAACAGCCAAATTTCTCACTCCACTTTACCCACAATAATTCCTGCAAGCCTCCCTACGAAATATTAAGTTGTGGTGAGCCGATCTGTGATCGCAGCAGGAAATATTCCCCTCAAGCTAGTGGGAGGGGGTGATTATCCTTCGACCAGCACACGACCAGTGCGATTTTCATACATGCTTCATAATGTTTTCTATTCACCATGTTCTTCTCCACTCTTTCTTTGATACCATGAATATGTTGAATTTACATGTAGCATTGATGTAAAGGCAAAATTGTCATCATAGCGTCAGAATCTGTTCCTAGTCGTTCTTTATACGTCCCCTCCCCCCCTTTTCCTCCTGACCATCAGGAATAGCCTTCCACTGTGAGGTGCAGCACACACAAGCAACTCAGCAAAATATTAGGAGCAATCTTCCTGAAATTTTCTAGAAATTCTTCATGATTAAATGTGTGAAAACTCCTTATTGAGAGCAGGAAATATAATTTTCTGAATCCCTGCAAGTTTCTGGCCTTTCTTAAATAAAAAAAAACTTAATGAGTGGACAGATAATACAGGCCGTGCTCTGCCTTCAGCTTTTTAAAAAGAACATCCTCCGTGGGTCTTGGCTGAATGACTCTACCTGCTACTGTCTGCCATGAAATCAGAGTTAATTAAAATATCAAATCTGGGTTTAATGTCATGCTTCTGCTCTTGGGGGGGGGGGGGACAGTAACATTCACATCTGAACATCTCCACACACCACACTAGGAAAGAAGGATTTCTACACTGATGAAATTAACACTCCAATCGAGCCTGACGTGATTAGAGACAGATCCTGCTGCAGGATTCTGTCTCCAATTAACATGGCACCTGACAGGGAATTCTTCCTCTCTAATGCAAATTCCATCACTCAGTATCAAGTCATTAAGTCGTTAAGGAAAAGGTTGAGATTAGATGGAAGGTAGTGATATATATAAGGCAATATGCACACCGTCTTGAAGATCTAAAACACAGTTCAATTGCTTCTATAACCTCATTAAATCTGTACACTTAAGAGAAGTTTTCACTTTGAGAGACTTACCAAGAATGTGTATTTTTGATAAGGCTGGTATATGGAGTATATCTTTAAGTTAAATAAAAGACGGCAATGTGAGAGGAAATCAATAATTGCAAACATATGTCTTCCGTCGGCACAGAACAGAATGTTCTCGCTGCAGCAGCACCAGAGGCTGCGGACTGATCCGCGCACCAACACCAGCTCTAGCTCCACTTCTCTGGTGCCCAACTACTTTTCAAATACCCAACTGAGACTACACACGCACACACAACAGTACTCACAGAGACACACAGGGCCACCAACAGTCTGGTCTGTGACTGAAGCCTTTGCAGCACAAAGTAAAGGATGTGTTTTTAATTACTTTCTTGTTTTTTTCATCCTTCCAACAATTAAATTTCCTTTATCACTGATATAACTTTCTGTCTTGAAACAGAACACAGTGCAGGTTAGTGCAAGTTTTCTAAGTCCACAAAAATCCATCTGCAGCAATTCTCAGAGTGCTCTGCCAGACTGAAACTTACATTGTTTTTTTAGAGAATGTAATGATTTCAATTAAGCATTTCATAATTTCATCTTGTTTGACAAAATTATGTAAATACCCAAAGGTGTCATATTCAATGTGATGGGTTTGATCAACAATAGTCCAGAACAGAGATGAACAATGTCTGGTATACTGGCACAAAATGTAAAAAATAAAATAAAAAATAAAAAACTTAAGTAGCTGGACCAAGCAAAATGTTTAAAGTGTGATATACAAGTTTCTTATTATTAAGAATAATTAACCAATTATCATTGTTATTAATTGCCAATTAGTCAGTCGCTACTTCAAATTTCAAATGAAACAATCAATTTCTTTTCGGCTCCATGCATGACAAGAACAAAAACTAAAGCAGAAAAAGGTTGGAGTAGAAAATCTTTTTCTTTGGCATGTTGCAGGAAGTGAGTGATGCAGTGGAAACAAAAACATTGTAAAACAAGTTTTTGGCTGCAAACAACAACAGATGTGCACTTCAATCAATTCATTCCACTCACAGAAACCAACAAACCTCCAGATGCAGCTTGACAAAGGAGCCTATACTTGCTTTTCACATTCATCTCATTCGGGTTTGTTTCAGTTCCATGAGAGCAGGTTGAAACATTTTCCATTAAAAGCTCTGAAATAGAGATGATAGGATCACTGTTCTCCTCCGCACACTGTTGATGCTCTGTACTTACAACACGTTGGTGGCCTCCGGGATGTCGGCCGCAGCTGGGGCCCTCTCCAGCCCGATGTTGGAGCAGTTGACGACGCAGGAGTGCAGGGGCCCCGCGAGTACGCAGCTGCAGTTAACGGGACAGGGGCTGCAGCTCGTCCCGCCGTCCCCCCGCGTCCCGGAGCACCAGACCTCCAGGCAGCACAGCGCCAAAAGAAGACTGGAAAAGAAGCTGAACCTCGGGACGCAGACGCCATGTTTTCGCTTGGATAAAGTCTGTCCATTTCCACAAGGCATAGCTCACTCACATCTCATCGCCCCTGATGGTGTAAGTCCTCTCAGTCTGGAAGGAACAAAGTAAACAGAGACAAACACACGCGTCCCTTTTTCTCCGCTTTCATGTGAGGACAGGCAAACAGAAGCAGGGGAGTCACTTTTTAAAAACCGTTATCTCCCTCTGCGTTTTCTTTTCTTTCTTTCCACTGCTCGGATCTCCTTCCTCTGAAAATCTAACGGAGTCTCTCCAGAGTTCTTTGAAGGGGAAAAAAAAGTTTTGGACAACTTCCTCTCTCCTCCTCCTTTCTCTTCGTGCAGTTCCTTCAGACGCCGCTAGGTGCACAGCTGTATTTCCTCTCATTCTTTTTTTGTGACCAATCTTTTTTTTTATTTTAGACAAAAGTTGCAGATGTACACCATATTTCAAATGTAGTCAGTAGCAATACATAAATCTGCATCATTATGACAATAACAGGGAGAGAATCTTTTATGTTGTTTTGTTTAATCTAATTGATTGATTGATTGATTGATTAATTGATGATTAATATGTATTAATTGACAGATAAATTGGCAATAAAATCATATTAATTAATCAATCAGAATCAAACATTTCATAATCCAACATAAACCTGAAAATACACCATTTTATTTAATGAAATGGTGTATTTTCAGGTTTATAACCCTCCCCGTCCCCATGGGTCTTTCTCTGAAATAAACAATGTAAGGAAGATATTTACAGTAAGTCAGGAAAATAAATATTTAAACAAGTAAATGAATACAGAGAAAATCACATCATGGATCCAGTAGCATTAGAGACCATACCATGGCCTGGCTGCTTCATCGTATAACAGAGAGCTCCTTTGTTAAAATCTCTATCGTTGAGTTAATCCACTGATGATGAGAGAGCGTGTGCGGTGGCTCTCTAATTGCCAACATGTTTTATAACCACGACCGTCTTTGAGTGCGGTTAAGATTCAGGCATCATGAATCATCATTGAAAAGCATAAATTCAGGAGAACAGGCACAAAGTGTTTCAGATAGAAAGTCTGTCATTTGCACCCAGAAACTTGAAATTGGTGGACATTCCCACGCGATATAGAAATGTCCCCAACCTGGTTAAAGCCACAATCTTTCTCAACTCCCCCAGCAAACCCTTCACCCCCAGTGGTTGCAGAGGGATTGCAGGAACTTGAAAGATGAGGGACAAAATTTAAATCAACTCGTAAAATGTTTGTGTAAAAAAGTAGTTCAGTTAAGGGATCGCTTGACTCTCCAATTACACTTATCAACTATTAAAAATATTAATCTTAGACATAGCTTAAAAATAATACTTCTAAGATTGTAAGAAAAGATTAAATATGTTCCTATTTAGTTAAGTCTACATAATTTTTTTCCCCAGTCTTATTTCTGTTACACTCGTTTTTGGATTCACCAGTAAGGGATCCTCAAAGCGCACAAAAAAGACTCCTATTGACCCATTATTGATTGGCTTGCTGCGGGTCCACAGAGACTTGACTGTTTTCATCTCTCTGAAGCATAGAAACAACACAGCTCTGCTATGATTGACTTGTAAAAATGACAGCTGTAAAGCTTCATACCTTTTGAATTCCACAAACCTAACCCCCTTCCCCTCTCTGCAGTAGCACAGGGCAGGGCACGTGTTCGAGGTGTTTCCTGGGTATTTGACTTGGCCGGGCCCTCCCATTCTCCCTGCGGTCATCTGGTGCTCTGTGAAAAGAAAAGACGAGTCCCACAATAACTCCTGCGCTCTCTGATCCTCCTTGGCAGCGTTACAGTGCAGGGCTCGTATTTGAGAGGCAAAACATGCATGAGTGAAAGAGGGGCTGTCCCGTTCATTTAAGAATCAGAAGTGAATAACAGCAGCGTGATTGATGTCTGCTGTTTAAACGAAAAGGTAACACAAATATGACTTTGTTTTAGGATGTTAACAATGAGGCTTCATCTTCACTTGAACCCTGATGAAATGATGTGCAGCTTTTCTGAAGATGAAGAGTTAGTGTATACCCGGAGCTTCTTATGCAATAACGTGTTGTTATAGTGAAGAGTAGAGAGAGAAATGAGTCAAGGGTCTTTACTCTAGACAATTCTTGTCACTTTAATTACATGACACATAATTACTGTTAGAGTCTGAATGGGCTTACGTCGAAAGCCTTCATTACAGGAAGAGAGAAAGGAACTCTCATCTCATTCAAACAAAGACAAAACCTCCACAGAAGAGCTGAGCTTTTATTGATTCATTATGTTAAATGTTATAGTTGTATTATTATAATCCAGGTCTCTATAGAGAGACTCTGAGCACATTAATAATACTGTGATGTTAACATGCTGCTAAAACAAAGCTAGTTGAAAAAGAATAACAAATCAGAACACTTCCAGATTTACCTCACAAAATGTCATTCAATTTATTGAAGGAAATCTGCTTTTTAATGCTCAGCCTTATGAGTTTATCTGGTTTTATTATGTTTAAAAGGCATATTGACCTTCAGAATATTAGCAATTACAATACAAGTGCAGTACTTAGTATTTAGTCATTTATTTTATTTATCAGGGGAAAGTGTGCAATGACTTCATATTTAGTATTTATATATTAACACGCCTCATTATAATATAAAAATATGATAAAAAAATCCTATTTAGTATCAGGACATATAAAGTAAAAATCTTTTCCTCACTTATTTTTGAATCCTGATCTTATCCCATGTAAGTTTTGTTAGGAGAGTCTGTAGTTCACGGCTGACAAGCTGCCCTCCTGAACTAGTTTCTCCAAACATTATGAAATGTTGTCTTCTGTATCCGTCTGGCCTGGACCGGGCTGGGCCGGCCCGGGTGGAGGTAAAATGAGCACGGCTCCTGTTTGGTTATGGGGAGGGTCCTCTAACCGGGCCAGGAAAACAGCACTTACTGAGGCCTCTGTCTGTGTTATTGTAGGGCTACAGGAATGGGGGGGGGGGGGGGGGGGGGGGGGGAATACAGATGGAGAGAGTGAGGAGGGTCTGCGGAGGTTGATGGAGGAATGTAGTCAAGAGGAATGAACGAGTCGTAAACAGCTAAAGGAGGAGCATAATAAGCATGTGATAAAAAAGATGAAAATGATGATAAAAAGGAGGCGGTGATAATAACTGTGTGACAGGGCGCTAAATATAGAGACGACAACAAGAGGATGGTTTTTCAGAATATTTCTACCCAGATTTTCAGAGATCATTCAGCAGAGGATGCAGGTTAAGTTTGTTTACGTGTAACATGTAACACAACAATTTATGACTGACGACAGACTGAAAATATATATTTATAATTTATCATATTTGTGTTTTTAATCAAATGATCATTGATCATTGATTTGGGGCTTTTTGTGCCTTTAATGGACCAATGCGCTACCAGCACCCCTAAGACACAATCTTAATCATAAGAATCCATCTGAAATGAGACGACACATATGCAGATCGACTGTCACTGGGAAAACCTGATTGATTGAAATGTGTCTTACATCACAGGGGCTCCAATTGAAAAGTAAAAATGAAAGACACAATACACAGATACAAACATTTGACACAACGTTCAAACAACAAACAGATATTCAGAGGCTTTCAATGTACTTTGATCTGTGATTCAGCTCCATGTTCAAACTGAGAATTAACTGATGTACAAAAGAGTGCTTCACATCCACACATAGACAACTGATTGTCAGAGGCGCTGATTGGGACCCCAGCACTATTGACAAAGATATCTTGACATAAATTTACTTAAATATAAACATTTTTGGTTCTGATTGTGATTGGTCTTCTTCTCTATATTTTGAAAAATCCAAGGTTTTTAATGTTCTATATATTTACATATTGAAAATGATACTTTTTCTTTTAAAGATGTATTTTTTTTAGCTTTTTAAGCCTTTATGGTAGAGATATGACCGTGGATAAAGTTTGGAAATCAGGGAGAGATAGAGAGTGGGGAATGACATGGGAGAAAGAAGCCACATGTCGGATTCGTACCCATTGCTGCCTGCTTGGAGGACTATATCAAGCGGTGTAGTGCAGGGTATATGCAGGTATACAGAATATACCTACTTCTAAATGCTCTCTGATTCACATCAATGATTCATTGACAATATTCAGTTGTATGCTACAATTTTTTATCTAGGATGGTGAAGGGATTACGCTCCCTACTCTGTCTCTAATTGGCTAGTTTGCAACTAAATATGCAAGAGTAGTCTTAAATGTCATTGTTTATAACAAAGGCCTTTTATCCTCTGCTGGACAGGACACACTAAAAACATTTTGGGGGTATATCCCCTTCTTCAGGCACCACTACACCACTCCACACATGGGGCACCATCACTAACCCCTAAGCTACCAACGCCCTGAAAATGATACTTATGTGAACTTTCATGATGCAAAAATGCTTGCATGATGCAATTGTTGGTGTCAGATTACAACACATTGATGAACACTGGTTGGAGGCGCCACCTGTGAATATTTGCCTATAGGGCCCCAAGAGGCTCAAGAATCTCCACTGCTGATCGTTAATGTTGTTCATGTTAAATCAGCTAACATATACTTGCTATTTTCAGGCATTGCAGCCATAAATTTGTCCTTTTCTGTGTTGCTGTTGTTGTTTCTCTGTTTGTTTGTCTCGTTGCTTCTCTCACAGATGGCTGGTCAACATGATTCTGGTTGTGCTCGAGGTTTCTGCCGGTTAAAATGAAGTTTTTCCTTGTCACTGATACTTTTCTAAATGATTCTTGAAGCTTTGCTCATGTTAGATTGATGTTGGGTCTCCATCAATAGTACAACAAAGAGTATACTGTGACATGCTCTTTCTGTAAAGTGCCTAGAGATGACATTTGTCATGAATTGGCCCTATACAATAAAGAGTGATTGATTGAACAAACTGACTCATTATGAAAGAGGTTTGAAAGTGGACGTGTGTCTCCTGTTCAGAGTGCTGTAGAAACTCTGTTTCTTCAAAGGCTCAGCTGTTATTTCAAAGTAGGTTTTGCATTAAAGGTATGCAGTACATTTACAAAGTACAGTACATTAGGACTAATATAGTTTCAGAGGTAAATACCATGCTTTTCACTCCACTAACATTTTTTAAGTTATGCTGTAGTTGTTCTGGCTTAAGGCATTTAAAGCATATCTAGTCTTTCAATATAGATCAACAAAAATGCTGT